GTTTTCACTACTGATGGAAACTTCATTACCATGTTCGGATCAGAGGGAGAGTCAGATGGTCAGTTCAAGTACCCTCGGTATATTGCCGAGGATAGGCATGGACACGTTCTGGTCACTGATAGAGACAACCACCGTGTTCAAGTAAGCTGATTAGTGATTAATTTGTCTTACCCTTTTGCTTCTAGCACTACTTCTGTTGCCAAGATACATCATACCCTGTGGCAAGAGTGTGAAGCTGTAATTGCAATGCATTTGGCCATTTTAGATTGAAAAGTCTCACCATGTGCTAGACTGGCTAGATGAAAACCTTCTACTGAGGTGGATTGATGACACTCGAGCTATTGCTGAGAGAAATACATTTATTTGCAGTGTGGATATTGTGACAATTAGAAACAAGAAACCAGTGATATACGGTTTCTTTTGGGCCAGGTCCAACACTTTATTGTCGCCCTTCGTACATATCCAGGGGTAATAGTGAACAAAAAAAGCAGCAAAATGAAAGCAATCTCTGGTGGAAGGGGGAGAACATCTTCAACAAATCAGCAAACCCTGGACTGTATGCACAATGACCCCCGTTGCATCTGCACGAATACACCATATAACTGCAGTAGCTGTGGACCAGGTGATGTGAACTATGCCATCAAGGACCGTGTGACGGTGTCTATAAAGTTGTGCACTCTTGGGTGGTTTTAAGAGCTCTTGGGTGGCTAAGTACTCCTGGGTGGCTAAGCACTCCTGGGTGGCTAAGCACTCCTGGGTGGCTAAGCACTCCTGGGTGGCTAAGCACTCCTGGGTTGCTAAGCACTTGTTCAGGACTCACCTTCACTACTATGCAATATTTGCCATGGGGCTGTTAAGTGATGACGTCACAGTTCCTTCGATACGCATAGCAACGATCCCACTGGGGACAAACAAAAGTAGCGTCGTCTCCACCGAACCAGTTGTCAGTGGCAACATATTGGAATCGTGTACATTTCTTCGTTTCTTCTTTGCTGTTTTCAGTGAGTGTTTTGTTTTCTCTTTGTCCTTGATCTCGACGGTGTTGTCGTGCTCAATACCTTACTGAGACGTCTCTTGTGACTGTAGCCAGTGTCACGGAGGATTTTATTGGCGTGACGAGGTAGATCGCCGAGATCGAGCGTGAAAAACGCTCTGCATTAGTAGCTCCTGTAGAATGTCTTCTGGGATGGCGTATCCATGGTCAACAAAGCCGCGGTGCAAGACAGCATAAGAGATCGTGTAAACGATGTGAACTCCAAAAGGTAAGCTCCTGAACAAGTGGAAAGATATGTGTATTTACAAAATCTTTCTTCATCCATCGATTGCCGCTATGCATTGCATTTTGTCTTCACAGATAATCTGGACAAATAAATTATATTGTAACTGGAGAGTGCAATCGTGCTTGGGACCCATCCCAATGTCATCACATGGCTGTGGTGACTAGTGTATACCTGTACCTGGGAGAGTTTTTCCTCAACTGAGACGGAGTGTAGGTGGATGGATTATGAGAAATGCGAAGATGTTGAGTAAGTTGTGTCGAAGAAATGTGTAATAAATAAAATTTACAGTTTACGCTCAAACATACACTGTACATGTACATGTAACATCATGATAATGATTCCATCTTCATATCTCCGCAACAGGTACGCCATACGCACCAAATACATGGTGTGTGTGTGCACGCGCTTGCGTGCGCGCGTACATGCACACACTCTCATGCGTGGCTGAGTTGGCCGGATGAACAGACCACGCATTTGCACGAGGTGTCCGTCATGTCATAGGAAATGTTGTACTTTATGACTTTATTCCAAAATAGTATGTCTTGCCCCTGTCAAATGGAGTTTGTGTCTATGCTCAGCGGGTATCGGGCCACGGCGCCACACTGCAATCAGCCCTGGAATTAAAATAGCACTTCATGGATTATTTTAACTAATTTCCTTTGCGTTTACATGTACTTTGTTGAGCCCGTGGTTTCATTTCTGTGTTCTGTTATGATTGGCCTCTGGAAATAACTGGAGTGGATGTCATTTTTGTCATATGTGTGTGCCTTGTGCAACAGGTTCAAGGCTAGATGCACTTCACATTCGGCGTGCGATCTCGGCGTCTGGGACCTGATAACGTCTTGGTTGGATGGGTAATCAAGGATGATACTACTCGGCACACTAATGTACATGTCAATGTAATTTTTACTTTTTCAGAGCTGCACTATTTACGGACGAATGTGTCTGTTAGAGAGGAAATAAATAGTATTCACATTCACAAACAAGTCCCACTTATTGTTTCTGTCCGTAAAAGGAAATTGCAATTTTTTGGTCAGATTGTTCGTTCCGGCTGTTTGTCATTGACTGTTCTTCAGGGTTGTGTTGCTGGAGGTCGTGGCCGAGGCAGGCCCAGAATGTCATGGCTTGATAATATTATTTCATGGAATGCACTTGACGTGCAGTCCCTGCTCGCTGCTGCACGCGATCGATTTTTATGGCGCTCGCTTTTCATACTTGCTCTGTGACGCCCCGACGGCCATGGGCTTGTGATGATGACTATCTACGTCTTGATGCTTACTTCGGTGCTAGCGTGTTTCCCCGGATTATTTCTATCATCATGCATGTTCTTGGGCTGAGCGAGCACATACACGAGTGTGCAGCTATAACCCCGTGTATCTTTGGTTACACTTTGTTCTGCAATGCATGTACCTTGTAACAGTATGTGCTTGCACTGCTTTGTGTGGCCTGCGTATTTCAGGACTGTTCAGTGCATTAGACCCAGGTTAGTTGGGTTGCCGGATGATCTCTTGTTGCGTCGCTCTGTGTTTTGTATTCATCATTTTTTGGGCTTGAGAATTGAGCTGTTGTGTGGTTCCCAATATCAAAACATCATGCTGGTGCTCTGTGTTTCGATTATCGACTGTCCGAGCAGTCACGATTCATTACCAGAACGGTCAATACTGTAGTCTCTTGACGTGTTTGTCTTTTTGTGTTTTCGCCGGGGGAATTAGCGGTGACGTTGCACATAGAACGGCAGTGTTGCATCACTTGACGACTCTGCCTCTGCATCTGACTTAATGTCCCCAGGATCTGGTGCAGATACACCAGACAGTCACTTCCTGTAAACACGCAAACAGCAAAAGAAGAGATCCCGCAAATCAGGAAAAACCATTGTGGAAAATATCGAGTAGATCATACACCATTCAATAATCTGGAGTAATTATTACAGTGAGACAAACACTTCAGTGCTCTCTCTCTCTCTCTCCATCCTTCCAAAATACCCTGTCACAATTCCCTAGAATTATTTCATTTTATATTCTCAGGACATTATTCTGAACATAGCCGTCAGATGCGAAAAGGGTGCTTATGGCATATTTTGGTCAAATTGAGATAAGGACTCAGGCAAAATCTATAGGATTTTATGCTTCACCTCCAAAAAACAGGACTCAAAAATTCAAATCCATCATGGAAATATCGTCAATTTAGTATTGCGAATATTTGCCACTTTTACGGTCTAAGTTGCAGAAAAATTGCTCTCCTGATTGGCCGGAAAAATCACGGAATAAAGCTGGTGGCCACAGTTCTTGGTAAGTAAGTGTAACTGAGGTGAACACATTGGCATCATTAAAGCAGCAGAAGTGACTAATCACAGTTTACCATGGGCCAGAAACACCAGCTGGGTTACAATTGCAAAGTAAAATCAGCATTAAATATCACGCTCTACTTACAGCAAGAATTATTGTTGTTCCTCCTCACCAGCAAATGAATAGCTAAATGACTGCCTCTGTCTTTTTTTGCCCTTGGAGTTTACTTCAGCTGAGTATCTTCCAATTTCAATAAGTGCCAGTAAGATTGCATTCCTTCTGCTCCTTCTCCTTCTCCATCTCCATAGAATTAAACCTGCTCTCCGCAATTCGAGCTGACGAAAATTGTTTGAGGCACTCGTCTCGGCATCCACACGCAGGAATCGCTTGCACAGGAGCTGCTGTTGCCGCTGCTGTTGCCGCACCAGCCCACGCTTGCTCCTGGGAAGATGAGCCACCAAAAAAGATCTCCGTAACTTCAGCAACGTTGATTTCGATTGGTTCTGCATTGTCCTCTTCTTCATCAGAAATTGCATCGCTGATTTCGGGTGCTGCACTTTCGCTCGGGTCATATACCTCGTCTGGCTCGCCCTCTGAGTGAGTCGCCAAAACCATCTACATCCATGTCCTGAAGAACTTTAGCTAAAGCCTCATCCACAGTAAAGTAAGACTGCCTGCTCATCTTGAAATTTGTAATAGAACAGAGAAGTCCAGCAGGTCAGGAGACGAAAGAATTATTTCGTTCAAAATCAGAATGGAGCTCGCGCCAACAAAAAAATGGCAGTTTCTTTTGTATGGAACTCCGCCGTGCTTTGCCGTATCAGGCCGGTTGAAGTATCTACGGAAAGCGGGGAGTCTCAGCAGTGCGCTAGTGCACATACCAGCGCTGTGGGATGCACACTCACACTGCAACGATCGAAAAATGACGTCACGTCAAGATTCACTCATGCACGTGACAGGTACATGACAGCCTGTCACTCTGACGCACTTTACTCGATTTGCTGTGTGATGCCATAAGCACCCTTTTCGCATCTGACGGCTATAATAATAACTTCTTCCATGGGTCTTCAATCACCACGGAGGGCGAGAATATATCTAAGTCATGCAGTTTACGGGAGGTGCGAGCTGTCATGGATATAGAGGCTGATATTATTGTGCCAGCGTGAGGGAAGAGACAGAAAGAAGACACTGATTTCTTGAACAACTCACCTACATACTGTAATTATAATCGAATCCACAGGGAGCGCTCGTACTTTGATCCATCAGGACGCGAAGAATCTTCAAAGCACTCTCAAACACGGAGTTTTACAGTGGGCAGCCAATTTCACAGCCATTATGAAGGCCCTCGACGACTACAGGAGATTTGTAGAGGAAAGAACAAGGAGTAAAGAGCGACAACAATCGCTTGACGAAAAAGCAAACAAAAACTGCTGTCTCTCCAGTCATTTAGATGCTGTTGCCTTTGACAACTGGTTCCATTCAGAGGACGCGACTTTTGTTTGTCCCCAGTGCTCTCCGTTGCTATGCGTATCGAAGGGGCCGTGACGTCACACTTAACAGCCCCATTATGCCAGAT